GAGAGAGAGAGAGAGAGAGAGAGAGAGAGAGAGAGAGAGAGAGAGAGAGAGAGCCTTTCTGTCTCTCTTTGACTCCTTTGTGACATACACCCAATAGGTCAAAAGATATGAGTTTGGTAATTTTCTCCCCCAAAACCAACAATCCCCCCCAGAATAATTGGATCAATTTACACTTCCATCTACAGTAAATAGTGTATCTAAGGTTTGCTCTAAATCATTAATAATAAAAAAATGCAAATAAAAAAACTTTAAGGTTTTATACCATACCCAGAAAATTGGCAAAGATTAAAAAATATAGAAATCATATATGTTGGAGGGGCTAGGGGAAAACAGGCATACAGGTACACTGTTGGTAGAGCTGAGAATTAGTTGAATCATGCTGCAAGAACAGTTTAGAATTATGTTTTTTTTAAAAAGGAGACTAAAATATAGCCACATTCTTTTACCCAAAGATCCAAAGATGACTAGTAATGTGCTACTAGTCATATACCCCAAGGAAGTTCAAACAGAAATATATGCCTAAAAGTATTTAATATGTACATTATATATAAGATATATTTTATATCATAAAATTTATATTTTATGGGGAAAATATATCCCATATATACCAAAATATTCATAACACCATTTTATGTGGTAGCAAAGGATTAGAACCAAAGTTTATGCCCATAAACTGGGAAATAACAAAACAAATTGTAGTACAAATATAAAGGAATATTGCTATGCCATAAGAAATGATGAATATGAAGAACTCAGAGAAGCATACAGAGACACATGAATTGGTACAGAATAAAGTAAGCAGACCCTCCAAAAAAAAAAAAACAACATACACCATGATGACAATAATGTACATGGAAAGACTGAATATTGTGTAATTATAATGACCAAGCTTGGCTCCAAAAAAGAGACAAGAAGGTAAATCCCCCTCTTTTGCTTGCACAGGGTAGTAGACCCTGTAGTGGTTGTAGTTGTGGAACATTATAACATATAATGTCAGACTTAATTGATGTGGTAGTTAGTTTGACTCAACTGCTTTTCCCCCCCTGTATTTATTCTTTGCTACAAGGGATGAATTACAGGGAAGAGTATGGGCAAGGGATATATTTGAAAATGAATATGATATGAAAACAAAACATATCAATACAAACTAAAACTTTATGAAAGAAAAAAATTGGATGGAGCAGTGAACTCATATAAGAGAACAGTGAGAAAGAAGGCTGGAGTGCTATGGGGCAGAGATTGTAGGTGTTCCCTGAAGAATACTTTGTCTCTCCAGAGTCACCATGTCTCCTCTGCAGCCGAAATTAAACTTGGAGATTGTATCAATACTGAGAACTTATGAACTCATCCCACCTCAGGGGGATAATTTAAAATATAAATCTTATTGTCAATTTTTTATTTTTAAGATACAGTTCAGCCTATTGTGGGGAGATGATCAAAGATCTTCTACTGTTATCATAACTCTAGTCAAAGGAGGAATGAAATTTCTATATATGGCCTGTTTGCACAAAAAGCTGGTGGATGGAAACTTCTACCCAAAGGGAGGTCTTAGTGTTGAACAGAAATATGATCTAACCTTAGGAATCAAAGTGATCTTTCAGGGAAAACATGGCTCTATTATAGGTTCATATTACTAAGTACCCAGAGCTCACATCCTCCAAGGTTTGTGTAACAAATAGTTTTAAATTACCTGAGAGAAGAAGGGAGAGTTATGGTAAATTTGCATGAATATACGTGTTTGTTCTTTTTTTTTTAGGGTGGCACCTGAAGAACATAACTGTGTAAGGACTAGGAGTCAGGACCCATTGGTCATCTACTTCACCAGTGGCACCACAGGTTCACCCAAGATGCTGGAACATACCCAAGTCAGCTATGGATTGGGCTTTGCCACCTCTGCAAGGTATAGTGGAGGATGTATTGGCAGCTGAACATCAGAGTAGCAACAACCCCAGTGATAGCTTAGTTGAAATCACCAGTTTGTGCTAGGTTAACAATTCTGTGGTAGAGTGGAGGTGGAGGGAGAGAAACACGGGATTGGAAGTGGGAAGACCTAGGTTTATATCCCATCTCTGATACTTCCTACTTACATAACCTTGGGCAATTCACTTAATTTCCCCTGGGTATCAGTTTACTTATTTTTAAAAATAAGGAAGTTAGACAAGATGATTTCTGAAGTCCCTTCCAGTGCTAGATCTGTAATGATATTAAAAAAAAAAAGTCTCCAAATCTGCAAAAGGCAATAAAACTGGAAGGAAGACTTACTTGAAAGGGTGAAAAGGAAGACCAATGTGAGCCACTGTTAGGTAGATGCTGACAACAGTGTGACAGTGGTCCCAAAGTCCACAGTCTCTTAGGGAGGAGTCATCTTGCAAATAATTTTCATCATACTGACCATTAGATTCTCCAGGGTGGTCTAGTTCAACTTTTTTAGTCCTCGTGGCCTGTATTTGAGATATCTTGGACCTCTATAGGGCTATTTTTTTTGTTACTTAGTATGGTATCCTTGTTCACACATTCTTCTTCTTGTTGGACCAGTTATATCAGTTCTTAGAAGTTTGTTCACACAGACATAGATGAATTAATGGCAAAACATCCTGAACAGTCTCCTTGAGTGCTTGAGATAGCCTCATGTGGCTCATAGGCCCTGGCTTCCTGATCATGGCTCTCTGCAGCAGCCTCTTCATCCTTAACACAAAGCCAGAGACATCTCTCCCTCTCTTGTAGTTACAGAAACTTCACACAGTTATCTTTGGAATTCTCCCCAATACCAAACTGACTATTCAGCATTCACATATATTCAAATGCTATAGCCTTGGACCAATGTATTATTAATGTACATACAGTGTCACAAATAGATCCACTATGCCATTCTAATAATTAGCCAAGATTATTAGAGACATCATCTGTCTTTCTGCTTCAGCCCCATGCCACCTTTGAATCACACCTGTGGCATGTAACTAACAACTAGGATTCAAAATTTTAAAAATTCAAAATGTTCCTCATTAGATAGCTAGAGATGCTCCTCTGAAATGGACCATAGTTTTTCATATTGAATAACAGAGCTGGTGAAGAAGAAGGAGAAGTACAAGAACAAGAACAAGAAGAATTAGCACTTTACGATTTACAATGTACCTTTCATATGTTATCACAGTTGATCTTCACAACAACCAAGTGTTTAAATGACTTTCCCAGGGTCATATAACTAGTAAGTATCTAAGTTGAATTCCAGTCTTCCTGACTCCAAGTACTGTACCATTTACCTACCTTAGAGGTCAGCTGATAGCTTGCTGTCCCCATCCCTAACTATTTCTACTCCATCCAGTATCACTGGGGATGATGCTATCACTGCACTATGCTGCTGAAGACATCATCCTAGCTGCTGCTCCAAGTGATACTCTGCTTGCCAGCTTGCTTTTTTTTTCTTCATTTCCTCCATCTCTCACAGGAAGGCCTTAAACTTTCTCATTAATCTTGGTCATTGACATCATTAGAGTGTTTACTAAATAATTCCCAAACAGCTGGCTTTTTGATAATGTTAGAATGCATTGCTATTTCAGGAAATATATTGGATAATACTTTACTTTGCCAACAGCATGCTTTTATCACAGCATGTGTAGTATCTTTATCAGCACAATCAGGAATATTTCTATGACCAATAGTCTGCAGTCTGAGTCTGTTCTTGGGCGGGGGGGGGGGGGGAGCATTATCTGAGTACCTGAAAAGATAATGAAGCTATAAAATCCAACCCTCCATCACAATGATACCATAGGATCACAGATTTATACTGGAAAGGACCTAAGGCACCATCAAGCCCAACTTCCTCATTTTACAAATGAGGAAACTGTGACATCTTGGAGAGGTTATGTGACTCACTCAACTTCACACAGATACCAAGTGTCTGAGTCAGGATTTGAGCCCAGTCTAGTGCTTTTTACACCGTTTAAGCAACACTTTAGTGAAGCTTACACACAATAATGTAACACTTATAACCAATCAATTGGTCTGTCCTCTAAAAGTCACATCAGAAAAATGTAGCTATCCAATCAGTCTATTGAGGAGGGGATGAGGTGGGAAGTGAAAAATCCTCAGTGGGGCATTGCAGTATTAGATTATTACCCCCCAAACCCAGAAATCCTAGGTAAGCTCCTAAAATTGAGCCCACTCCCACTCCCTCAGTCATGACCCCTCAAAAACTATCTGATTTTGTGCATATTACCTCAGAAGGTTTACTTAACAAGATTGAGAAGTAGGATGAAGCTAGCCCATATTTATTCTGCATTTCTGACAAATACACAAACACTGTTCTTATTACACAATAACTTTGACCAAGTCAGTTTCTCTGTGTAGAATTCAGTTTTCTCCCTTTTTGGGGGGGAGAAGGAGGATAAATTAAATAATATTTGAAACTCATTTCTAGCTGAAACATGTTGGTGCTTCAGAGCCTATCAACTTTTAAATACTCAATTATTTTCCCCCCAAGATGGTATTAAGCATGGCATGTGGGAGGTCTGATGGGTCAAGATTCCATATGTCTGATGATATGACATTTTTGGCACTCCAAGAGTCATTCACTTGTAGGATTACTCCACAAGTATTTGCTGAACACTCACTGTGCTCCCAGCCCTTCTCTAGCCTCTGAATCTCCTTTTGAGAGATGGAAGGAAAGAAACAATCATTTATTATGTGCCTATTATGTAACCAGTTGGTATTCTAACCACTTTACAAGTATTAACTCATTTTATGTTCACAGCAATACTAGGAAGTAGGTGCTATTATTATTCCCATTTTACAGTTGAGGAAACTAAGACAAATAGAAGTTAATTGCATTGCTCAGGGTCACACAACCAGTAAATGACAGTCTCTACAGCTGTACTGCTGTAAAGCAAACACTCTCTTTTTCTGTGTTGTCAGGAAGTGGACAGATTTATCAGATTCTGACATCTTCTGGAACCCATCTGACACAGGCTGGGTCAAAGCTGCCTGGACTTTCTACTCTACTTGGATAACAGGAGCCTGCCTTTTCATTCACCAGCTGCCAAAAGCTGACACCAATGTGATCTTGAATGTAAAGACAGAAATTACTTTATTTATTGGATTATTGAAATTAGACGAGAAAAAGGAGAGAAAGCATTCAGACTTACTAAGTTGCAGGAGACATGGAAAAAGGCATAAGCAAAGATAAACTGATACCTTGATCTCCATAGAGAAGTGGATAGAGTATTGTATATCCATGGAGACAGGAAGACCTGGCTTTGAATTCTATCTCAGATGCTTGCTAATCTATAAGATGGTGACAATAATATCTATAGTAGCTGCCTCATAGAGTTATTGTGAGGCTTAATATTATGAGATAATATATGTAGATCACTTTACAAACATTAGAAGTCCATGTAAAAGTGAATTATGATGATCCCTAGTCAACACACATTTTAAGTCCCTTTGTAATAATGGTGATAATTTAGTGCTTCAAGGATTCTTGATATGATCAGTGTGAGAATAGCCCTCACTAATGCAAATCCACTCCCTTTCACACCTTGAGCAATGGCTAAGTGAGATACTGATGAAAAATAATTCCATCAACTGGTGGTGAACCCTCGCTAAGCAAGGCTGGTCTTAGGACAGCAAGCACATCTCTCCACCTTGAAACCTTGACAACAAGCTTGCAGCTAAAACCTTTTATATGCATCATCTCCCTCATTGGAAAGTGAACTCCTTGAAACAAGAATTCTCCTACATTTCTATCTGTATCTCCTGTACTTTGCCCACACTAAGCACGTAATTAATATTTTATTCACTTATTCATTCATTGATCTTGGACCTACTTTGAAAGCTTTTACAACTGGCTAGGACCTTCTGGAATTTGTTCCCTGCTGTTGAGAATGAATAGTCACCCCAGCACTATAATGAAGCATCAGAGTAGGAATTCAGTGAAGGAATAATCATAATGAGTCACATTATTATACGGTTTCACTGTTATAAAACATTTGATACATATTATCTCATTTGATGCTCACACTGTGAAAAAGAGAATACAAGTATCTCCATTTTTGGAGAGGGGTGAAGGGAATAAGTACTTATAGAAATATCTACTATGTGCCAGGCACTATGCTAAGCGGTTTTTACAAGTATCTTATTTGATCCTCACAACAATCCTGTGAGGTAGGCACTATTATTATCCTCATTTTGCATTTGTGGAAGCCAAGGCAAACAGAGCTTAAGTGACTTGCTCAGGGTCACACAGCTAGTAAGTGTCTGAGGTCAGATTTGAATTCAGGTCTTTCTAACTCCTTGCCTAGAACTCTGTACACTATACCACCTAACTGTCTCAGATTGTACAGATGAGGAAACTGAGTTATATAAACCACCAAGTATGAAAGAACAGGCTACAGGGCAGCTCGGTGGCGCAGTGGGTAGAGCACCGGCCCTAAAGTCAGGAGGACCTGAGTTCAAATGTGGCCTCAGACCAAACACTTGACATTTACTAGCTGTGTGACCCTAGGCAAGTCACTTAACCTCAATTGCCTAAAAAAAACAAAACAAAACAAAAAAAACCCAGGATAAAATTCTAGTTTTCATTGTCTGAAACTAGAGGATTTTTTTTCCTTTGTGTGAAATTGCCTTTTCAGAGAGGCTTCCTAAAGCCGGTGAGTTTTTAGTCAAGTCTTAAAAAGTAATGAATATGTATTTACAGAGAGGAAAGGGACCGAGGTAAGAGCCAAGATCGGGGATGGGGAACCTGCAGCCTCAAGGCCACATGTGGCTCTCTAGGCACTCAAGTGAGGCCCTTTGACTGAATCCAAACTTCACAGAACAGATCCTTATATTAAGGGGATGGCAGAAAGCAGACCATCCACAGGAAGAATGGAATCAAGGTATAAGAATGTATATCTGTTTTCCTTGGTGAACTCTATTTCCTGTCATTCCACAATTCAAAATGAGTAATTCAAGTAAATTAACTTCAACAAGCATTTATTAAGCACCTACTACATACAAAGCAATGTAGGATCAGATAGTCATATAGAAAAATAGGGTCCTGGGTCTGAAACTTACTGGAAAGTACCTTAAAGACTTTAGTCTTACTGGAAAGTACTTTAGAGATCTAGCCTAACCCAATAGTTTTGAACATAAGAAAAACGAGACCTCAAGGGTAAAATTGACTTGCCAAGGTAACACAGAAAGCTAGAGACAAATGGAACTAGAACATGGGCATCATGTATTCTAGACCACGGTTCTTTCATTAGACCTCCCCACCAAAGGAGTTTCCAGCAAGGAAATATCAGGTTCAATATTTACCTACAATAATCAGAACCCCGACTGACAACTCTCAATTATCCAGGATTAAAGTACCTAATGTGTAGATTCTCAGGTCCTTTGACTGCTACACCTTCTCCTTCCTGTTCTTATGCCTTCCACCCTCCTTAATACATCTTCAAAAAGGGTGGGAAATAAAAACAAAAGCCAACTACATTGCTCCTTAATCAGCAACCCAGAGAAGGTTTTGACAGAAGAGTTGGTACCCACACTGGCTGGATATAGAGAAGGGACCCATCCCAATCATCCTTGCCTCTGGCACCCTGATAAAGATAACCTAGCCATTTTTTCCTTTGGACCCAAGGTTTAGTGACCTTTCAATATTTCCTACCTATTTAGACACTCTGCCAAATGCCAATCACCACCTTCTGTTGTGTTCCAACCATGTTCCAGATGCTTGTACAACATGACTTGACCAGGTAACTCTTTTCCATTCCATATTTATGTGTACACAACACACACACACACACACACACACACACACACACACACACAAATATATATATATACAGAATAGACCAGACATCACTCAAGACACCCTGAAGATATGGACTCCAGTTTCCTAAGATAATTGACCTGCATTGTGTCCATCTTTTAGTGGCTCAGAGAGACTTGAAAGGGTTCCTGTAGACTGAGGCTTTTTAGTAGGGTTCCATTGGCTTTGATGGTGCTAATGAGGCCAAAGTGGGTTCAGTTAACACTCATATAAGCTATATGGTTTTGCCCAGAGAAATTTCCTTCTCAGCCACAGCCAGTGAGTGCACAAAGCATCAGTGTTAGCCAGTGTAGTGTTATTTGGGTATATGAAGGATGAGCCACTTCAAACAAATCGTTGCTTCCCCTGATGGTCACCTAGAGGGTACTTCCTCTTTGGTTCCTCAAGTTAGCCTTCAGGGAAAGGAGCCTTTTTGTGTCTCTTCTGAAATTTCTGACCTCAACTTTTTGTGGGGTGCCTCTTCTCTTTCTTTATATGCCATTTGTAAGAAGTGTAACTTCTATTAATGCTCCACAAATATATAGTAGATTCTGAATTGGCGCTTTGTGAATTACCTCCCATAAGAATTGCCTGCTCTGAGGGGCAACACCATTGCTGAATCCTTGATAAGCCTTTAATAATCCTATTCTTCCGGTAATAATTTGCTCATGCAATGCCTAGGAAAAGAGTAATTGAAATGGTTGCTCTGACCCATACCCCCTCTAAATAAAAATATTCACAAGTGGCCTTCACTTTGGATCCATGCAAAATATTGTGTGTAAATTAATCTTAACTTCTAGATTCACTGAGGGAGCATATTATTTAAAGGATCCCTGTGGTAAAGTCTTCATTAAAACTCATAGAGAAGATCATGAAGACATCATAGAAAGTACCATAGATCAAGAGCTAGAAAGGACTTAGAGAATGTTCAGTCCAATTCCCTCATTTTATAGGTAAGGAAATTGAGGTCCAGAATGTGACTTGCCCAAGTTTCAAATTAGAAAGCAGTAGAAGACTTTCCTGGCCTTGAAACACATTGAACTAGATGACCTTGGAATACCCTTCCAACTTTGTGATTGTATGATTCCTATTTTTAAAATGTTGTGGTATTGTTGTGTTGTTTCAGTCATGTCTCCGTGACTCCATTTTGGGTTGTCTTGACAAAGATACTGAAGTTGTTTGCCATTTCCTTTTCCAGCCCATTTTATAGATGGGGAACTGAGTCAAAGAGGGTTAAGTGACTTGTCCAGGGTCACACAGTTATTAAGTGTCTGAGGCTGGATTTGAACTCAGGTCCTCCTAACTCCAGGGCCATTGCTTTATCCACTACACCACCTAGCTGCCCCACATCTAACAAGTTGGGTTTTTTTAAAATATTGTCTGTTGGAATTTTTTTATTATTCACAAAACTGTTTCTTTTCATCAGCATTAACCTACTCCTTAGGCAGCAAACTCATAGGTTATAAAGATGGAGACTCAAGAACCCTTAAAGGTCAGCAGATGGGGACCCAGGGGGGTTACATCTTGTGAAGTGTGGGCAGGATCCCATGCTATCACCATGGATAGCATACATCCCATACTAAGTCCCTAACTAGAGCCATCTTCTCTTCCTCCTCAACAAAGGTACAAGTTTAAGAGCCTGAGGCACTGTGTAACAGGAGGAGAGACCCTCAATCCTGATGTGAGAAAAAAATGGAAGAGTCAGACAGGTCTGGAGTTGCATGAAGGCTATGGCCAGTCTGAAACTGTAAGTTGCTGCTGAATCCTTGAACCTCAAATGAGGATTGTCCCACTGGCTCCCTCAGATTCTGAATAAACATTTCTGGATCATAGAATTCTCCCCAGCCCTTCCTATCCTGAGTACTGATGGGTCTGATCAGTTCCCATCTTACATTATGATCTCTTGAACATCTAATAATTTTTCCATCTCTTCACTGCCCTAAAATTTCACCATTAAGATTACATTATTTTATGTTCATAATAGAATACACCATATGTGGCAAGTGCTCTTACCTGGCATTAATTTCTCTCCAGGTTTTGATCTGTGCCAATCAAAAAGGCATGAAAATCAAGTCAGGTTCCATGGGGAAAGCTGTTCCACCCTATGATGTCCAGGTAAGAAACTTATGTCCCAACTAGATAGGGGTTAGTTTGAGAGAGAATTAGATGTACGGGTCTAAGACTGCAGCACAAAAAGCATCCCAGACTTGACAGTCAAAATATCTAGGTTTCAGTACTGACTCTCTCATTTACCAACTCTATGACCGTATCATTTAATGTCTCTGAGACTCAATGTAAAATGGAGATAGTAAACTATTGAAATCTTAGGCATGTTGAGAACTAGGGAAAGAAGAATCTCACTGTACTCAGCTCTGGTCAGACCACATCTAAAGTGTTGTTCTGGAGGCTATTATAGGAAGGAAATTGATGGACCAGAGATCATTGGGGTTGCTAGGATGGTGAAGGGCCTAATAATCATGGTCTTGTGAATTCATTGAAGGATATGTTTGATATAGAGAAGAGAAGACTTAGAGGGAGACATCATAACTGTCTTCAAGTATTTGAAAGGCTGTCACTTGGAAGAAGAATATGACTGTTTGGGCCCAGAGAGCAAAACACAGAATGATGTGTGGAAGGTTTGTTGTTAAGGAATTGGAACTATCCAAATGCAAAATGGAGGTTGCCTAGGAGATGTACTGGATTACCTATCACCAGAACTCTTCAAGCAAAAACTGAATGTCCATTTGTTAAGTACCTTGTATGGGGAATTCTTCTTTGGGTTAGTCTAAGATGACTTCACAGGGCAGCTAGGTGGCCCAGTGGATAGTCAGGAAGACTCATTTTCCTGAGTTCAAATCTAACCTCAGACACTAGCTGTGTGACCCCGGTCAAGTCACTTAACCCTCTTTGCCTTGGTTTCCTCAACTGTAAAATGAGTTGGAAAAAGAGATGGCAAACCACTTCAGTATCTTTGCCAAGAAAACTCCAAATAGGTTGTGAAGAGTCAAACGTGACTGAAATGACTGAACAACTAGATGGCTTTGCAGGTCCCTGCCAGTTCTGAGATTGTGTTATTATTTCTTTTTACCGCACAGCATTATTGCAGGGAAAATACTTTGTAAACAACCAAACACAATTGAGATGTAAGTTGTTGTTATTATTGTTGTTGCTGTTGTTAAGAGCAGGTTTTATGTTGAGTGCACCTATGCTGGGTCTGCAGGAGCATTTTGATTTTCCCAAGTCCATTAGTTGCCTTTGTGCCTCATTCTTCATCTCAGATTGTAGATGATGAAGGCAACATCCTTCCTCCAGGAAAAGAGGGTAACATTGGCATCAGGATCAAACCAAAGCAGCCCTTCTGTTTCTTCACAGGCTACTTGGTAAGTAAACTTTTTGTAAATAAGCAGCATTAGAGGCAACCAAAAAGTTTTATTTATATCTTTTGTTTTTAGCTTCATATACACATATCCCTCCCCTCTCTCCTTCCCTAAGAGTTGCCCCTCATAACAAAGGGGAAAAGTGGGAGGGGATAGTTCAACAAAACTAACACATCAGCACATGCATATTTCACACCCATAATTGTTTTCCCCACCTCTGTAAAGTGAAGGAGGTACATTTGTTTTCTCTTTTCCGCAGGGCCAAATTTGATTATTATAATTACAGAGTGTTCAGTTTCTTTTTTGATGTTTTTCTTTCCATTTTCATTGTGCTTTCCTCATCCTGATTACTTCTCTTTGCATCAGTTCATGTATAAGTCTTCCCATGCTTCTCTGTATTCTCCATATTCATAATTTCTTACTGCACAATATTTCATTGCATTCATATGCCATAATTTGTTTAGTTATTTCCTAATCAATGGGCATGTGCTTTATTTCCAGTTCTTTGTTACTATAAAAAGAAAAAGCACTGCTATGAATATTTTAGTGAACATAAAACCTTCCTTTCTTTTTTCTTTTGACCTTCTTGAGGTACACACCTAGCAATGTGATCTATGGGTCAAAGGGTATGAAAATTTTAGTCATTTCCAAATTGCTTTCTAGAATGATTGGCCCAATTCGCAGTGGTGTACTAGTTTTCTAACAACCCTTCCAACATTGACTATTCCTATCTTTTACTATTTTTCACCAAATTTGCTACATTATTTTGATGTAATTTCCCTTACTTCTTTAGATTCCCTTAGATTTTGAGTGATTTTTCATAAGGCTATTCACATGTTGAAAATTTTTTTAGAACTTCTGCTAATATAGGATTAATTTTTTTAAGAATTATGTGCATGTGCTCAAGCAAAAGGTTCCTGGTCAAAGGAGCTGGAATTGCCCCAGACTTCCTTTGGGAGATTTTAGATTTACAGCTTGAAGGGGCCTATCCCTTCCCTATAGGCTTCACTAATTGACATAGAATCATCTAATCCAACTCCTTCATTTTACAAATAAGGAAATTGAATGCCAGAGAAGTTATGTGACTTGCCCAAAAGTTACACAAAGTTACACAGTTACACAGATAGGTTCTCTGATTCCAAAGTCAGCTTCTGATTTCCACTGTACCAGACTTCCTCCCTTCAAGAGACAGTCATACATGCTAGAGACAGAAGGCTGAACTAAGTGATCTCTCAAAGCTCATTCTATTTTATGATGCTCTGGTTTCAGGGGATAACTATTCCCTGCTAAGAATCTCCTATTGCGGGAGTAGAAATTCACACAGCAGCAGTTTCAACTCTGCATCTTGGTTACCCTTTGTTAATTATTAAAACAAGCAGATCACCAGCTTAGAGGAGCAACTGTCCTGCCCAAACTTACTTGAACAGTAACCTGGCCAGTACTAATCAGCCCAGCACAAAAGTATGCCAACACTTTAGAGTCATGCCAAGGATGTCCTTTCTTCAATTTTTATTATGTACGACCAGGGCAATGCTGAGAAAACAGCCTCTTGCAAACAGGGGGACTTTTACATCACTGGGGACCGTGCCCACATGGATGAAGATGGTTACTTCTGGTTTAAGGGAAGAGCTGATGATGTGATCAATTCTTCAAGGTAAAGATGTTGGTTGCTGCTTGTCTTTTCCTGGGTCTCTGGATTTTAGGTATGATGGTGGGTTGTGGGTCGAACATTGGGACAGTATATGTTGAAAAGGTCCATTTTTCTCTTCCAGTTACCGAATTGGACCTTTTGAAGTAGAAAGCGCCCTGTCAGAACATCCTGCCGTTGTTGAGTCCGCTGTGGTCAGCAGTCCAGACTCCATCAGGGGAGAGGTAATATAGCAGGTTCCAGACTCAGTCTCCATCAGGGGCCTGCATTGGTAGAATATATGACTCATTTGTGTCATGATGCACCAAGATGTCTACTTGTCCCCGAATACTTCTCACTCAATCCCAAATCCCTAGTGTCAGTATCTTAAATTCCACCATTAGAGGTTCATTCTTTTGTTTGAAATCTTCCCCTTTTGTATCCAATTTTCGAAAGCAAATACCTCCCTCCCCCAAAAAAAACACTGTTCCATGTTTCTTACAATGATTGTGCAAAAGGTCTTTACGTAATCAACATTATTTTGTGGTTTCCTTTAGCTTATGATTATGAATTTTCTTTAAAAACCAAAGATATAAAAGATGTTTCTCTGCTATTTTGAATAATTTAACCCTTTACCTTAAATTTGCTTATCAATTTGCAGCTTATTTTGGTATATGGTATGTCAATTTAACCTCTTTATCCATGCTCATTAAAAATGTATAGTTTTAAAGCAAAAAAAAAATTAACATTAAATTCCTGGCACTTTCAGTTCAATTCAACATATATCTATTTAATACTTACTTTTTGCAGTGGGCCAGTTTAACCCTGAAAAATTTAGATAGGACAGTCCCTGCCCTCATTAAGATTACAGTCTAGGAAGGATATATGAAGCACATGCTATGCAAATAGAATGAAACATAAGTGAATAAATAAGATACATATAAAGGGCTGTGAGATTGAGTAGAAAAAGTTCATAGTTGACTGAAGGAACCATGGAAAGCTTCATGGAGGAGTTGACATAAATTGAGTTTTGTTTAGTGAGTCAATAAGCATTTAATAAAGATTCCCATGTGCCAGGCACTATGTTAAGCACTGGGGATACAAAGATATTAAAAACATAATCCTTTTCTAAGTACTCACATTCTAAAAGAATATAAGTGTGGCTTTCAGGCATGGAGAACAGCAGGCAGTAAAAGGATTGAAGCCTGTAAATAAATGTCAATATAGTTATTCACACTTTAGTGTGGATTAGTTCATCATATGAGGAAAGGCTTTGGGAGATGATTGTGAACAAAGCAAAAACTCTGAAAAAAGAGGAAAGAAATGTATTAACATAAGAATGAGCATTAGGAAGAGAGCTCTGTTGTACTTTGGTTGCCCAATAACCCCCCTGGAAAGTTTTATCTTCCCTAAGTGGTGCCCCATAATCTCCTTCAGGTAATTATCTCATTTGAAATTAATATAGCCCTGAGGTGTTTTGATTGACTCAGTGCATTTCCCTCCCAGAGGTATGTGCTTCTTAACAGGGATATGGCAACTCTAATAGAGGATTCTTAGGCATTAGTTTCCAAAAAAAAGTATGGAAACAAGAGGGGCTTCCAATATCTTTTAAGTCTTACTCATAAGCAGCCACTGACTCCATCAATATAGGCTCAAACAGGTAGAATAGAATATTGGTTCCAGGATGGGATGAATCAAAGGGATGGAATGGACCTTTTTATGTGGGCTGGTGAATATTTGGAAATTTTTTAAAAGGCTGATTTAAGGGACAGAGATCAAGGGTTTCATTTTCTTAGTAAAACAGGTGGTGACATTATGGATTTCCCTATACAGGTGGTAAAAGCTTTTGTAGTTTTAAATCAAGATTTTATCAACCAAGACCCAGGGGAACTGACTCGGGATCTGCAAGAGCATGTCAAAAGATTGACAGCACCATACAAGTACCCCAGGAAGGTGAGTTTCCTGGAGAACTAGGAACCACCATCTTCTGGAGGTTGGGACAAGGGAGTGAGATAGAGGCAAGGCTTACCTACATTCACAACCAATGAAAAACTGAGAGAATATTTTTAAAGGAAAAGGAAAGAGAAGAAGGGAATGGAGAAGGGGAAGGGAAAGAAAACAGAAAACTCCCTCTCTGACCAAACCCAAGCAAAGCAAACATTGATAATGTGACTATAAAAATTATCCAAGCTACAATAAGAGAAACTGAGGCAGAGCTCTGAGCCAATGGCACTTTATTAAAGGGTCCATGGTCCCCTCTAATGAAGTGGACAATAATTTATGCTGGCTCTATTGGCCTTCCTTGTACAATGGGAATCCTCAGAAGATGAAAATCTGCTTTCTAAGGTCCATGAGGAGTTTCCTACTCTGATGAAATCACAGGTCTGTGTTGTTTCTTTTGTTAAACCACTGCCCAATGGTTTGGTGATCAATCACTTAATATTGATTAGCCAGCCATCTCTAGCATAATGACATAGCATAATAACAAAAGCCACTCAGGTAGGCTGTTTTATTTGTTTTCACAAAGCACTTTCATCATCTCCTTTAAACTTCATAATTATCCTGGGAGATAGGTAGAACAGGAATAATGATCTCTATTTTACAAGTGACAAAACATTAACTGCCATTTATCTAGCAGCTTAACATTGGCAAAGAGGCTTATGTTATTTCATTTGATTCTCACAGCAACTCTGTGAGGTAAATAGTACTAAAGACGAGAAAACTGAAGCTGAGAGAGGTAACTTCATGGGTTCATAGATTTAGATCTGGAAGGGGTCTTACAAGCCATTTTGTCTAACCGCCTAATGTTACAGATGAGGATCTTTTTATGAAAGGTTAAGTACCTTGGCAAATAGAGCTAGAGTTTTAACTGAGGTTCTAAAATTCCAAATCCAGCATTTCCACTTAACTAATTTTGCCATGATCACACACAATCCGAGGTTAGATTTTAACCCAAGTCTTCCTGTATTTGGTATAGCACACTCTTCCTTTTAAACACTGTATCTCTTATAAAGGTAAGTCCTAGAGAATCAGAATCAGGTCTAGAAAAATCTCCTGACTCCCAGACCCCAAACTCTTTCGCTGTACTCTAATGTTTCTTTCTATATCATAATGGTGGAATCAATGGTTTTGAGATTAGCAAGTTAAGGGGGCTAGAAGCTATGCAACCACCTTGCCCAGAATTTAAGCTTATGCTCCTCTAATCTATAAAATGACTGGTACCAGCATTTTTCCATATAAAACACATAGAGTAGAAGTAGAATAGAGTCTTCAAACTCTAGACCAGTGAGTTCAACTCTGGTTTCTGGAGAAATTCTAGAATGAATCATTAAAGAAATAGATGATGAATATCTAGAAAGGAAACAGTGACTTTAAGGAGCTAACATGACTTCATCAAGAACAAAATATGCCAGATTAACCTTCTATATAAGGGTTGGAGTGGGGTAAGAGATAGGAAGGCAACAAGCATTTATTAAGTGCCTACTATGTTCCAGGCACTGCATTAAGGGGGTTATAGATATTATCACAATTGATCCTCATAACAACCAATGGAGGTAGGTGCTATTAAGATCCCTATTTTATAGTTGTAGAAACTCAGGCAGGCAGAGGTTAAGTGACTTGCCATAGGCTAGTGGGTATCTGAGGCCGGATTTGAATTCAGATCTTCCTGAACCCAGGCCCAGTTGTCTATCCACCATATCACTTAGAATCCTCAGGAATTCTGCGGGTAGTTTAACAGATCTTAGCATTTAATGAAGTATCTCATACTATTATTGTGGGGAAAATGGAGAAATGTAGACTATGTGATAATGAAAGATTCAAAGCTTCAGTGAACAGAGCTGAGACTGGAATCAGGAAGACCTGAAGTAAAGAATCCCATTGACATTTTATTTGCCTCATCATATTATTGAATCGTACGGAGCTTGCAGTCTCCTAAAACTAGGTGTTCTCCAAACAAATCTCTCTTTAACTATAACCTATCTTATACTTGTGAGGTTGATTTTTTTTTTAAATCCAAAGCACATGAATTTACATTAATCACTTTTGAATTCCATTTTATTGTACTCTGTCCAGTGCTTTATATGGCAGGTAAGTGGTACAGTGGATAGAGTGCCTGGCCTGGAGTCACGAAGACCTGAGTTCAAATCCAGCCTAAGACACTTAATAGCTGTGTGACCCTGGGCATGTCACTTAACCTCTGTCTGCCTCAGGTTCCACAAATGTAAAATGGGGAAAATAATACCACCTAACTTCCAGGGTTGTTAAGAGAATCAAATGAGTTAACATATGTAAAGGGGATTGCAAACTTTAAAGGGTGGTAGTAGTAGTAGTAGTGGTAGTACTAGTACTAGTACTAGTAGTAGTGGTAGTACTAGTAGTAGTAGTAGTAGTAGTAGTAGTACTAGTAGTAGTAACAGGAGCAGTAGTAGTTATTGTCATTGTTGTCATCCTTTTCTATTCCTTAGTGTTCAGTTGTGAGTGTCATAGTTTAAGGAAGACATTTATAAGACATAAAGTGTCCAGACGAAGGAAAGCAGGATAATGAAGGGCTTTGGTCATATAGCATCTGTGAATCTGTTGAATGAACAAGATCAGTTTAGCCTAAGGAAGACCAAGGGAATATGAAAGCTGTTTTCAAATATTTAAAGAGCTCTCTTGGGGAGAAGGGATCAGACTTGTACTGTTTGGCCCCATAGAGTAGAAACAGTCCCTCGATAAACATTTATTAAGTGCCTACTATGTGCCAGGCAGCATGCTAAACACTGGGGATACAAAGACAGGCAAAGGACAATCCCTGTTCTCAGGGAGCTCATGATGTAATTGGGGAGACAACACGCAAACAACTATGTATAAACAAGCTACATACAGTATAAATAAGAAACGATCAACAGAGAGCAGGCATGAGAATGAAGGAGCATCTAAAAAGGCTTCCTATAAAAGATGAGATTTTAGCTGGGAGTTGAAGAAAGCCAAGGAAGCCAAGAAGCAGAGATGAGGGGGGAGAACATTCCAGGTATGAGTGGTAACCAGTGAAAATAACTCAAATAAGGAGACTGTCTTATCTGAGGGGCAGCAAGGAGGCCAATGTCACAGGATGTAAGAAATAAAGAGGATGGTAAAGATGGAGTGATAAGGTATAAATAAGGTGAAAGAAGACCTGAGAGGTGGGATGGGGGGCAGGTTATGAAGGGTTTTGGAAGCCAAAGGATATACTTGATCCTGAAGGTGATAGGGAGCCATTGGAGTTTATTGAGTAGTGAGGATGGGTTGGCATGGTCAGGAAGACCACTTTGACAGCTGGATGAAGAATGGATTACCAGCCAGCAAACTACTGTAATAGTCTAGGTATAGATGATGAGGGCCTGCCCAGGGTATCAGCAGTATCAGAGGACAGAAGAAAATGCATACAAGAGATGTTATAAAGGTAAAATTCATCAACCTTAGAAACAGATTGACTATGGGAAGTGAGAGAGAAAATGAGGGGTCCAAGATGACACCTAGGTTGCAAGCTTGGTGACTGGGAGGATCATAGCATCCTCTACAATAATAGTGAAATTGGGAAGAAGGGAGGGTATGAGGGGAAAGATAATAAGTTTGGGACATGTTGAGTTTGAGATAATTTCAAGGATATCCCGTTCAAAATATCTAATAAGAAGTTGGAGATGTAAGACTGGAGGGCAGTAGAGTGGTTAAGGCTGGAAAAGTAGATCTGAGAATCATCAGCATAGAGAATGACCATTGAGTCCATAGGAGCTAATGAAATCACCAAGTGGAACAGTATAAAGGAAGAAGAGAAGAAAACCCAGTTCAGAGGCCTGTGGGATAATCAAAGTTAGCAGACATGATTCAGCAAAGGAAACTGATATGTAGCCATCTCCTTTAGGCAAAAGGAGAGGCAGGCGAGAGGAATGTGAAAATTTAGAAGAGAAGTATCAAGAAGAGGATCATTAACATTATCAAGGTCTGCAAGAAAACTAGGAGCAGGTGCTAGTTGCAAATAAGCAAATTTAAGATTGATGTTAGGAAAATTTTTCCTAACAATTTAGACTGTCCAAAACTGGAATGAGCTACTCTCAAGAGGGGGGTTCCCCCTTTTTCATCTATTTACTTATGGGAAGTATTTTTATTTTTAATTAGGTGGAATTTGTCCAAGCACTGCCAAAGACAGTCAGTGGGAAGATTCAAAGGAGCAAATTAAGAAAGAAAGAGTGGGGGAATTAAGATGGAGTTGGAGAAGTTTCTTATTGGCCTTCAAGCAGAGATATATGACAACTTAGATATGGGGTAATAGAGATTCCTTTTAGATACAGGTTGTACTAGGTGTACTTGATATTTTTTCCGATGCTCAAATTCTGTGATCCAGAATCAAATTCTGAAAATACTCAGCTCTTTAACATCCTCCCATCAAGATCAGGTGTGGCCAGATGATCTTTTTCTAACTTCCCAGGATCAGAATGATTTAACACAATCAAAAAATATTTAAGTGTGTGTCAGGCACCATGCTAGATGCTGGGTAGACAGGTACAAAGAATGAAACAATCTCTATTTCATTCAAGTGAACTCACAATATTAAAATGAGTCGATCACATTGTTCCCCAACACATTGCTTCCAGTTACCTGCCCCTCTCCCTCCTTAGCTCAGTATTGAGTCCATTGAGGGAAGCCAGAATTTTTCATCTATTTACTTACTAATATTTTTATTTTTAATTAGGTGGAATTTGTCGAAGCACTGCCAAAGACAGTCAGCGGGAAAATTCAAAGGAGCAAATTAAGAAAGAAAGAGTGGGGGAATTAAGATGGAGTTGGAGAAGCTTCTTATTGGCCTTTCAGCATTCCTTGCAGAGGCTTTGGCTTGATCTTCCCCTCAACTTTAAGAATGTCTGAGTTCTATGAAATGAGAAGCCTGCCCATGATATGCTTCCAAGAATCTTCTTAGAAATGAGCCCTCTGAATAGCCTGGGTGTGGATTGTGCTAATGTTCAAAATAGCATCTCATAACAATAATAGCTCACATTTATGTAATACTCTAGGTTTTATAAATTGCTTTAGTCACAATAGCCCTCTGATATATGTAGTGCAAAGATGATTATTCCCATTTTACAGAGAAGGAAACAGACTCTGTGAACTGAAGTGAGAAATATAACTAGAACTCATTAACAAGGCAAATTCAATTGATAAAGGTGGGGAGGTTTGGCTGGCAGGTGGGGACAGGGGGACAGTGCATGCCTTGAGAACCAAGATAGCATTCCAAAAGTGACAATAGTCACAACAAGAGAGGGGGCAGCACCCCCCAAGAGTCCAAGTTAGCTGGGAGGTCAGCTGGGCCCCAGTAGAGGAGTGCCAAGACAATGAAAGTGGGAAACTCAAAGTAGCTACATCACGTCTTGGGAACAGTGTGGAAGACTTTGAGGAATAGTTCAGGTATTGCTATCACCATGAGAGAAAGTACCTCCATCCTCCCTTAAACTGGAATCCAATAATAAATTGTTTACAAGAGACACACTTGAAACAATACAATGATCCAAGACAATTCCAGAGAAACCATGATGAAAAAATTCTTTTCACCTCAAGAGAAAGAACTAATGAATTCTGAATACAAATTGAAGTATAATTTTCTCACGTTCTTTATTTTTCTTGTTTTTAAAAACTGTGGCTAACATAAAAATATGTCTTATATGATTTCACATGTATAATTGATGTCATATTGCTTGCTTTAGTGTATAAGGGAGGGTGTGGGAGGGAGAGAATTTGGAACTCAAAATTTAAAAATAAAAGAATGTTTAAAATAAATAAATAACAAAAAATTTTAAAAAGAATTATATAGAATCAGAAGGTTTTAAAAAATCTTCCTAACTCTCTCTTCTTTTTCAATGCTAAGAGTTCTGGAAATAGTTAAATACTCCTGCTGCCTCCAATTCTTCCTCCTCTCACTTTTCAACCCCTTGCAACCTGGCTTGTGATCACATTGCTTGACTTAAATTGCTTCATTTAAGTTTACAATTACCCCTTAGCTGCCAAATATAATGACTCTTTCTCAGTTCTTAACCATATAGATTTTTCTGCAGCTTTTGACATTCATAGCAAATAGAGTGATGAACTTGACACCGTGAAGATCTGAGTTCAAGCCCTGCCTCTGATATTTACAAACTGTCTGACCTCTGGCAAATCACTTAAATTCTTTAAGCCTCAATCTCCTTACCTATAAAATGGGGATAATATTTGTACTAACCTCATGGGATTATCATAAGGGTCAAATGAGATGTTTTATAGGGCACCTTGAAAACCATAAAGCAAAATATCAGTGCCAGTTATGATTGATCATTCCCTCTATTGGCTTTCAGGATTATTCTGTCCTGCTTCTCTGACTACTCCTCTTTAATCTTCTTTGCTGATTCATCATTTCTTGACGACTAATTGTGGGTGTCTCCAAGGGCTCTGCCTTGAGACTTCTTCTCACTCCAAGCTTTCTTTCTAGGTGATCTAATCTGCGCTCATGGGTTCAATTATTTTTCCTATTCAGATAAATCCTAAACCTTTTTATTTAACCCTAGCCTTTCCCCTGAACTCCAGTCTTTCATTGCCTCATGTTCCTCTGAACATCTCATGGTCTATTGGCATCTCAAATCCAGCACACCCAAGACTGATATGCCCAGTAAAATGTAAAGAACGTTGACTCCAGCGACAGAGGACCTGGGTTCAAATCCTGTCTCTGTTGCTTACTGCCTATGTGACCTTGGGCAACTCACTTAACTTCCTTGACATAAGATTCATCATCTGCAAAGTAAGGTGTTGGACTAGATGACCATTTGGGTCCCTTCCAGCTCTATATCTATGATCCTATGAACTCACCTACTCTCTAAGTCTGCCCCTCCTTAAAACCTCTCTTTCTCTTGAGGGTACCCAAGATCTTCACAATTACCTAGCTGCCTAACTTCAGTCATCCTGTCTCTCTCCCATTGTGTCTCCCTCAAGCCCCCTGTCTAACCATTTGCCAAGTCTTGTCAATTATCTCTCTACATCTCTGGAACCCATTGCCATTTATCTACTTTAATGACAACAATCCTAATTTAGGTTTTCTATTGGCTCCCTCTTCACCATCCCTACACCTCCAATCCATCCTACATACAACTGCCAAAAAATATCCTAAAGTATAGATTTAACCATGACTTTCCCCTTTTTAAAACCTCTAGATTCTGCCTATTATCAGAGATAAAATACAAACTCCTGCACTTTGTATTTTAAAGCCCTCCAAATCTGGCTTTTACCTTCTTTTCTACCCTTATTTCATATCACTCCACTTCATGTGTGCTGGTCCAACTGTATTTCATTCATGGATACCACATACTAGTTCTCCTGTGCACTGACAAAGGCCAGCTTCTACGTCTGGAATAAACACCTTCCATTTCTGCCTCTTGCAACCTTCATCTTCCATCAAAACTTAACTTATGTCACACTGTCTAATCTTTCCCAATCTCCCCAGTCATTAGCATTCTCCCTTTTCTCATGTTACTTCATATTTGCTTATTTGTATACATCAGAGGTGTCAATGTGGGCAGCAAGTGGTGGTAAGTGCCCCCAACCAAATTAAAATATAATTGGGAAATATTTAACAAAATATATAAAAATGTAATATAAAATAGATAATGCTAATTTGTGGTTTTCTACATCATAGGAATGTAGATTCATTTCCATTGCCAGCAGGTATTCATTTCTATTTTAGTTTGACACCCCTGTTGTACATGATATATTCCTGCCAGCAGAATGTAAGCTCCTTGAAGAGCCCCAGAGAATGTCTCTTTAAGGTCTTGTATCCTCAGCACCTAGCACAGTTCCTTGCACTTAGTATGCATCTAGTAAATGTTTGCTGGATTTAAATGAAACTGAATTTTAGTTTCTCTTCTTCTTCCCCAGATCTCTTTATTCTTCTCCTTTTCTCTTCATCTCATATCTATTCCTTGGACTTCCTATCATCCCCCAAACGCTGCTTGACCTGGTTGTCACTTCTGGAGCTAAGAAGGTCAGATTCTATCTCCATTCCTCATGGAAACAATTCCACTCAGTAAACAGATCCCCTTAATTGGAGAGCACCTAGAAGAAGTAAGGAGAGTAAAGGCCAGAACCATGATTGCTTACTATGCCATATCCATATTCAACTCCCAAGCAAAGCACCCTGACCATTTCCAAGCCAATGAACATCTCATTTGAGAAACCTTTTGGAACAGATCCTTTTCACTGTCCATTGCAAGTACCCACTGCTATCTCATCAGTCTACATCTTCTGATCTATATGGGGATCCTTTTGGAAATACATTTGCATAACATTTTATATTGGTGTTTTCCCTATCAAGATGAATAAAAAGGCTGGTCACATTTGCCAAGGACAAAGCTACTCATGGGATAACTTCTTGTCTTGCTCCAGCTTCAACATACGTTGCCTTTTGCCTTTTTCCTTGATGGTTCTTCTAGAGATATCTAGGTGGTGCTAGACTATAGTGACCAGTGAGCTTAATGTCAACTATTCATAACCTTCTTGAACATCTTGTTAAAGAGATGTTTAGTGCTTAGAAATGAAGGCAATAAAAAAGGGTTGAAGTTATAATCATCACAAACTAGGATGAATTTCTTAAGTATAAATTTTGCCAGACTAATCTTATTTCTTATTCTGAAAGGATTAAAATATTATTAGTTCAGGAAGCCAATAAAGCACTAAGTATTTATTAAGAGCTTATTATGTGTCAGGCACTGTGATAGATGTTGAGGATATAAATACAGGCAAAAAGACAGTCCCTCACCTTGAGGAGCTTATATTCTAGTGGGGAACAACAACACACAAATAGGAGGTGAAGGAGGAGAGGGGGAAAGAAGGTACCTTTACAGGAACGTGGTATTAAAGTCCATATAGTCAGGCACACAGTCTGGAGGGGCATAAAAGTTGACCAGCCTGGGATCCCTCCATTAATGGTCCCCTCATCAGTGGAAATAGGGGGCCAGTTTAGCAGAAGGATATTCTCAGGTGAGAAGGTTGCATAGATGGTTGGATATTCCAGGGTTAAGAGGTCCCAGGCGTGGTTTTGAAGTCTAAAAAGTCAGGAGCAGAGCGGGAAAAGAACAGAAAACATAAATGACTTGGACATATATGTGGGGCTTAGCAAGGCCTTTATTCTTGTGTCCAAGAGGGAGAGCTGTTGGCTCAATAATAGAAGTAAGTGAGTTCAGAACTGATTGTTCATTTGGCCCCAGAGAACATTGATTAATATCATTCTGATAGTGGACCACTTCATTTATTTTTTAAAAGAATTTATAGAAAGGCTTAAATTGCATTACATTTGTTTGAGAGTATTCTCTGGGATCAATATCCCAGAGCCAGGCTGGCTCCATCCCCTTAGTGTTCTAGGGGTATCCCATGAGGGTTTGATGTGTCTCTTCACTATTACTATCAGTTCTACCCCCTATCCTTGGTGTATTCCCTCCACTATAGGTACTAGTAACTAGTATCCTAGTCCCATTTAACTATATCAATTAGTTTTTTACTTTGAAGATGTAGTAAGAACAAAAGTATTAACATTTACTTCCCATCTCTCAGGGGTACACCATCCTCCATTCCATCTTGGTCTCTCGAGAGAGAGGACTCAGATTTAGCATAATTTCTACATAATATTAGTCCCATCTTTGGGGATTGATACGATGATGGAGAAAATGGAAAAGAGATTACTATTTAACACTGGAAGGAGTGGCCAGTGTCTTGGGGGATGAGGGGGGAAAAGGTAGATTTCCATGAGTATAAGAAGATGGAATGGGTTCAAGAGGAAAAGATCTAAAATGGAGGTGAGTTTGTTAGTGACAAAACAAGGTTCTAAAGAGCACAATGAAAATAGAGTTAGAAGAGGATATGGAAGGGATAAGATTAAGCAGACCTGGGTACTAGAACACAGAGTAGTATCAGGGGAAGGAGATTTTGTCTAGGCAGCTGGTGAGTCTGTATCACTGAGATGAGGAGAGGAGGGGGGAATGAGTTACCCTCATAGAATTGAGCCATCATATCATTGGATTAGTTGCGATGACAGAAGGCAGAGTCCACTAGCTCCCTCTCAAGCACCAGAGAAAGTCAGAGACCCTGCTTCTAATGAGGTTCTGAGGGTAAGGGGTCAGGAAACTGGAGTTCCTGTTTTGAAGGTGGGAATTTTGAAGGCTTATTGCAATGAATCCCTGCAGAGCAGTGTGGTAGCAATGGTGGGGGCAGAGGTCAGACAGACTTGAGCTTCTTGCTCCCCGGGGGCTTATGGGAGCAGAGATCACATTCCCTTGATTCATGTTCTCTCTACTGCAAGAGCTCAGGGGTCATTTGAAAGGCTGTTTCTCTTGGATGCTGACAGGTCACATGAGGATTGTTTAAGGGAGCAATCAAACAGACATGAGCATGAGAGAAACTATACTGAACTTGAGTCACAGTTTAAATCCTGCCTCAGAAATAGTAACTGTACAATTATGAGCAAGTCTCTCAGCCTCTCAACTCCCTAAGTCTTCGTCTCTTCAAGCTAAACATCTTCAGTTCCTTCAGTGGA